AGTTAAATTTTTAAAGCTACATCCATTTGTTGGAATTTGGATGTTGTACGTTGGTCAATTGGTTGGTCACCAAACATTCAACAACCAAAATCCACCAAATATTTTTCTTTCAATATCTGATAGATGCTCTTTAAGAACACTTTTATGTTTCCGATCAGTTATCTTTATGTGTAAACCCCATACATTTGAATAAATTTAGCAAAATGCTTGCGTCATTACTCTTCATTATAATTTACTTCGACATTACTCTTTGTTATAATTTACTTTGATGGTATAATAAGTAGTGTTTTTCTTTAAGTTTAGAATTACATATTAAAAAAGATATTATGAAAAAAGAAAAAGAAAAGAAGATTTGTTTGAACAAAGTATTATAATCTGTCCTAAATTCTAAATTCAAGTGTTCTACAACTAAGTCTAAGTGTTTTATCTCGGTAACAAAGGAACATCAAGAATTTATTTACTTTTAAAATTTTATATTCTAGTAATATTAATATTAATATTAGTATAATATGAATGCTATGACTTGTGGGTCGGAGCTCCCCTCCTTCAAATCTCTCATTAGGGCCTCAAAATCTTAAACGTCTTACCTATAGGTATTTTTGAAAAAAAAAGCTCCTTAAATTTGCAAAGGACAACTATCTTTGCAAATGGACTCCCTAAATTTGCTGCCCCCTTATAATAAGGGTTGGTGGGGCAGCCCAGCAACGGCTCTGGTTGTCATGACTTCATGTTGTTTACTCTAAACATATAAAGAGATGGCATAAAAACCTAAAGCATACGTTTAAAAAAACCCACCTAAAGCATACATTTAGAAAAACCCATCTAAAGCATGCGTTTAAAAAAACCCACCTTAAGCATGCGTTTAAAAAAACGCACCTAAAGCATACGTTTAAAAAAACCCACCTAAAGCATACGTTTAAAAAAATCCACTTAAAACATACGTTTAAAAAAACCCACTTAAAGCATACGTTTAAAAAAAACATAGTGAAAGTTATGACAAATTGGTAATTTTCAATGCAATTTTTAGATTGAGTTACGGCAATAAAAAGGATACAGTAACATAATACGCTTCTATAAGTGTCTATACGCGTCTACACTAACAAAAATATTTTATTTTAAATTTAATGACGCTGCTTTCTTGTTTAATACATATTTCCCCTGTAAGATGCAAAAAAAAAAAAAAAAAAAAAAACTGGAATTTAATTTAAATTTAAAGGAATTTAAAAAAATAACAAACCAGCGATTAAAGGACTAAACCAGTGTATTTAACCAGATATATTATATTGCAAAAAATTTACTTAACACAATTCTCTAAAAAAATGCGTCAAAGAAGTGAAACAAAAAAGTACCGATCGAACAAAACATCGGTAAAGAAAGTTAAAGATTTTACATAAAGAATGTTTTATTAAATAGCAGCGGTACGTTTTAAAAGGTTGTTTATAAACTTAACGTTGATTTGTTTTTTTTTATTTTGAGCTTTTTTTGCTAAACGTCATTCAGGTATTTTTTTTAATTATAACTTTTTAAGTATTTAAATAAATGTAGCTAATTTTATTAATTTTATAAAAAGCATTTAAAATCATGTTTCCTGAAAAAAAATTTTATTATTATAATATTTTAACGAGTTAAAAAAATTGCTTATTGTTCAAACTATGCAAATTCATGTGCATAATGTGTAAAATGATTTTAATTTTAATATATTTTTCAGGATTTTAAACAAACTCAAAAAAACGCAAACGTTCTGATATTATATCAGTGCCGTGGCTAGTGGTTTGGTAATTTTTTCTACAGATACCACTAAAAAAAAAAAAACCCTACTTAAATTTGAAAAAGAGCCCCTAAATTTCTTATTGGGTCCACAAGATTTACCAAAGAATACCACTTAAGAATACCACTGCCACCTAAGGATACTAGCACTATTATGTAAAGAAATACCGTGCTTTCAATTTCTGAATGATAAAGAATTAGGTAGGCAAAACGATAATGAATTTTTTCAGAATTGTTGTATTGGAGCGTATTTAAAATTTTCAATTTGATTTTTAGAAACTATTGTGCTTTATTAAATTTATTGCGTTCATTACTATTAGATTATATTACAATAAGAATGATGGGAACCAGGGCCGCTGAGAGCTGTCACGCCGAGAGTTGTCACGCCCCCCTTATTTATCTTTTTTTTTTAATATTATATATGTAGGACCTTTTTGTTTTTTTTCAGGTAGCTACATTGCATTTGGCGCCCTGAAGGGAGCTCAACAAAAAAGACATTTTTAGAATGAATTATTGTTAATAATAATTTAAAAATGTAACTTATGTATATAAATCATATACATGCATTATATTATCATTTTTCATAGCAGAATAATGTATATCAATACATTTGGGCATCTATAGATGCCCAAATGTATTGATATACATTATTCTTATATTATTATATTGATATACATTATTTATGGAAAATTATTTAACCTATTATAGTAGGTTAAATAATTTTCCAATAGAGACAGATAGACCTATATAAACAATCACACAGCCTTTTATAAATAACTATCTTATTAATAAGTTATTTATATCAAAATATCAAAATATATTTTGATAATACGTTTTTTTTTTAATATTGATATTTTTTATAATGATGTTTTTCAAAATATCATTATCAAAATATATTTTGATAAAACGTCCTAAAGAACAAATTGTTAAAAAATGCTGCTTTAATATATTTGTTAAAAATTATAAGCTTTTTAACAGTAATTTTTGAAAAATTGTTTTTTTTTTATTAAAAAACAATTTTATTAGAATTTTTTTTATATGTCATTTTCTTAATTCTTGCACACAAATTCCAGAAAATATGGTTATAAAAATTTAGCTAAAATTTTTTAAATAAAATAAAAAATTAGTATTGAGAGAACTTGTATTCATTGATGATCATGTATTAATATATGTTTAATATATTTAATATATTACAAAAATACAATAAAACCAATTTAACAGCCGTGGCGCAGTGGTAGCGCACTTGCCTCAGAAACGAAGATCCTTTGTTCAAACCCCACCTCTGGACAAGTTTTGCGACATCGGTTGGGAAGGAGGCGTGAACTTCCTTTTAAATGCTCTTCCGCGGTGCTCTGTGATAAACCGTAAGGATATATATATATATATATATATATATATATATATATATATATATATATATATATATATATATATATATATATATATATATATATATATATATATATATATATATATATATATATATATATATATATATATATATATATATATATATATATATATATATATATATATATATATATATATATATATATATATATATATATATATATATATATATATATATATATATATATATATATATATATATATATATATATATATATATATATATATATATATATATTCATAAATAAGACACATTTTTTTAATTCTTAAAACCATTTTATTATTAAAAAACAATTTGTATTATAATGTTTCGACTAACACTAGTCATCTTCAGTTAAAATTAAATATTTAAAATTTGTTAAAATTCCTAAAAGGTGTTAAAAAAAACAATACAAAATATAATTATTCTTATACAAAATAATAATATTATTACAAAAATACAATAAAATCAATTAAAAAGTTTATTATGTTAAGTTTATCATACTAAAGAAATAGGAAATAACAAAAAAATAGGTCAAAAAGATAGGCAATATGTGAATATAAAAAGATTATACACAATAGGTTAAAATGATTATATGCAATATGTATAAAAAAAAGCAGCTAAACAGAAAGTATCATTTGTACATGGTTAACCTGTTTATTCATACCAGGTTTTAGCTGTTCTATGAACATATTTTCTTTAAGTTTTAACTCGAATTTGTTAGATGCTGAATCTAAAACAGAAAAACACTTGTCACTTATTTGCATGAAACCATTTTCATTAGCATGGAGATGTTTATAGATATGAGACTTTTTATCCCTCTTGTAATGTTCAGATATCTGGATCTTGAGATGGCAAGTAGTTTTGCCTTATACACCACGAGTGATTTGAACTCTAGAGGAATAGGATCTTTAGAAGAAAAGAATTTAGAAATTTAAAGGAAAAGAATTTAAAAATTGTGAGGTTTTAAAAGAAACAAATTTAGAAATTGTGAGGTAAATACTAATATAATATTTGCTGAACTGCAATATCTTTTAGCAGTTTAATTCAGTTATTTTTTAGTTGAATCAGATATTTTTCCCATAAACAACAGTTTAAAATAAGAAAAAGTATCTTTGATTTTAGGTTGTGTTTGAAATAATCTTGTTTAAATAAGAGTTATATATTTTTGAAATGAGCCAAAATAGGTACATGTTTCTTTGAAATACTTTAAAGAGGTCATTTATGTCAGAGTAAAACTCAAGTTTAGTAATATTAGATTTAAACATTCTATTGATTAAGCATTTGGTTAGACTAACACATTTTCTTTTTAAAGGACAAACTTATGATCAAATCGATGGTGTAGCATTTGGTTATCCTCTGGCACCTGTTCTTGCTAATTTGTTCATGGGTCATAAATATAAATGAAAAATATTATAATATTAATAATGTATATTTACTGTAGCAACAATATATATATATATATATATATATATATATATATATATATATATATATATATATATATATATATATATATATATATATATATATATATATATATATTATATATATATTATTGCAGAGCATACTGTGATGTTATAACAGCTGTTAATGTTATAAATTGTCAAAATTAGTTTTAAAACTATTTACGGACCTTGAAAAAATAATATAGTTCCACAAAGAATTCTAGTTTTTAATTATTCTATTGTTAAAAAAGTTTTTTCTTGAGGAAGAATTAAATTGTTAACATTTAATTCTTTTACTGTGTTTAAGTATGTTTGATGAAGTACTCTCACTTGTTAGCAGGGTTGGACTGGCATTTATAAAAATTTTTTTTTAATTTTTTGTTGTTTATTTTTAGGTATTAGGTTCTGATTTGTCAAAAGGTAAAACCAATTTAACTCTTCCAGATTATTTAAACAACTCATTAGATTCCCTTTCAAGTGTTTTATACTCATCATCTGAAAGCACTCCAATTAATTCATCTGGTTGTTCTACACCTAACTCTGTTAAGCGTCGACCAAAGCAGCCAAATATTCTCTTACCTAGTAATCATGGTGTATATCAAGATTATGTTGAAATACGAAGAGCTGAAAGTATTTCATCTTGTTATTCTGAGTCTGATAGAAATAGCATTATCAGTGATACCAGTTTTTTTGATCTGTCTGAAGAAATCAATGAAAACGAAGCTATTCCAAAGAAATCAAAAAGTACTTTTTCTGAACTTGAAGAAACTCTTACTGAGTTTGATGTTTCTAATCAGATGGTAGAGGGGGAAACCAAAACAAATGAAGATTGTTTGAAGTTTCATCAGAATAAAATTAAAATGCTTTGTGCTGAACGCCCTAATTCTCCTACAAGTAACTTTTTAGCATCTATTATCTCCTTAGAATCTTCTACCGACATTATTTCTCAAATTCATTGCAATTTGTCTCCTTTGCTACACAAAGTAAAGAAATTAGAAGAACAGTCTAAAACAATAAACTCTTTGCAAGTAAAGTTAGCTGTTATCCAAGAGGAAAAAAGGCAGCTATCGTCAATGTTAGAAAAAAAGCGCCAGCAGTTAAATGAAAAAAAAGAATTTTCTGAGCCATTAAATGTTTTAAGAAAAAGAGAGAAATTTTCTTTTTCTCCAATTTATCTTTCTGTAGTTGGTTTTAATCAAAGAGCTGATAAATTTACTGATACTTCATGTGATTCTGCAAAAGTCTTCAAAGATGTTGGTGTGCAAAAGTCTCTCAACTATCCAGTCATGAAAGATATTGGAATAAATGTTTTTCTTACTTTTTTAGACAGAGCATGTCAAACAAAGACTGAAACTAATGATTTTTCCTGCCAAAATGATTTAATAATATCTAGCAAAAATCAGGAACTGCAAACTGATGAAGTTATATTAAAAGAATCGTCTGTTGGTGATGATGTAGCTGAAAAATTTTATTCTAACTCATTCACACAGGTTTTAAAAAACTATAAAAATCAATTTACACAATGCCATTTGACAGAATATCTTGATAAGAGCCTAATGGCTGGGTGTTCAACAAATGATTTTATTGATGTTGGCTCAGGTGACTCATTAGCTGAAATTTTTTTGATTTCCTCAGAGACACAAACATGTAAGCAGGTAAAAAATGACCAAGCAACCCAGTGTAGCATAAATACATTAGAAAAATCACTTGCCGTAGGTTGTTCATATGCTAATTTAAAAACAGCATCAAGCCAGTGTTTAGTAGACATGAAGGACTTCCAATGTGGTGATAATTTTGTAAAGTATAAAGATGCATCTTCAAATGTTGATCTATTTATGAAAGACGCATGGACAAGTTCTAGGATAATTGAAACTAAGTCAACATATTCGGGATGTGAAGTCCAAACATGTAATATTGGTGTTAGTGATTGTTCAATATTTGATGTTTTCTGTGACAGATGTTCAAACTTAAACCTTCAGAATGTTGGTGTTGGTGAATATGTTAATAATTTATTATGTTGTGTTGATGATAAGATGTGTGGTTGTTTTAAACCTACATGCATATCAGTTGCCATAAGCAATGACTCAGTAAATGACGTGTTTTGTGATCACTGCAAAAATTTAAAAACATCTTCCACAGGTGTTGGAGATGATAAAATTGACGATGTTTTTTGTGATAAATGCAATAATTTAAAGACTTTATCTTGTGGAGTTGGTGATTGCACAATTGATAATTTATTATGTGATCGTTGTTCAAATAAAACATTTTTTGATATAGGAGTGAGTGAAGACTCTGTAAATAATAGCTGTTGTACTTCTTGCACACAAAAAAGTGTTAGAAGTATTGGTATTGGTGAAGGAAACATTAATGATACATTTTGTTCTAAATGCATTGCTAATGAAGACAAATTTGTGTTTGATATTGATATCTTAAAACTGCAACAGCCAGCTTTATGCCATTATTGTGGTAACAAGGTTGATTTGAATGATACAAACCTTGATGAAAGTTTACAAGCAATGAGAGACAGTATGCATAATTTTGCCTCTGGTATGAAAAGATCAACAGTGTCTCGATCACTTAATTTAGAGTCATGTGATGATAGCTTTTATAAATCAAAAGATGATTTAGAGAGTCCAGAAGATGACTACCGAGCAATAATGTCAGATGAAGAAGATGATGCGAATGGTCGGTAAGGTTTTAGCATAAAACCTCTAATATATTTGTAGTTTAACAATGTTCTGAGATAAACATTTTTTTTTTAGTGGGAAAGCTGACGTTATTGAATCTTGCAAAATGCTTCACGCACATTTTAGTGGAGAGAATCAATTAAAGCAACCAGCTGTGGTAAGATAAAAACATATTAATCAAACTATTTGTTGTTTATTAAGAGAGTATAAAAAAGTGCTACTCAGAAACTTATTATGCTGTCATGTGCAATTTAAAAAAGTAGTATATATATATATATATATATATTTTTTTTTTTTTAATCCATGTTTCATTATGCCATCATTAATTAACATACTATATTTTAATAAATAAAAGAACAATGGATACAGAAAAGTTAATAAAATTAATATATTCAATTCCTTAGTTTATAATTCAATTCCTTATTTTATAATTTTTCAATCAAATTTTTGAAAATACAATTTAATAAATCCACTTGTTTTCTTTTGTTACTTAAATAAGGTCTCAAAACAAAAAAGGTTTGTCAATGCACAAGTGCGTGCTTAAATAAAATGTCTGATTTAAGTAGTTGGAAAACTTTTATCTTTTTTAATTTAAAGACTTTTTTTTCAAAGCTTCAATACATGAGTATTATTCAAGCATTATGGTTTAAGACAGTTAAAAGAAAAAGAGCAAATGCGGCCATTGTAAAAAGCTATATTGATTTATTTCAACAAAGAGTACCTGAACTACTTGAAACTATTATGAACATGAGCGATGATGAGGTAAGTGTGTTGTTTATAGAGTTAAAGTTATCAAGTTTTATAATGTATAGTACCGCTTTATAATGTATAGTACTGATAGTACAGCGCTCAACTTGTTCCTCCGCGCAGCGGCCTTGTTCGTTAAGGTTCGTGTTTCAGAGTTATAGAGTTGAGAGAGGATTGTAACCACAAAAGTAGCCTCTTGCACTGTAGTGGCCTTCTTGGCCTTGTAGATGAATAATTAAAAAAAATAAAAAATAAAATAAAAAATGATCAATATTCTCTAAATAGGGTGTATGATTTGGGGCATTGATCATTGAGCATAAAATGTTATGTTTTGCATGGAGTGTTATTGTTAATGGTTATTATATGCGTTGTTAAGTGACAACCTGCGCAGTTAATACCCATTTGTTACAACTTTTAACAAAAAATTTTTTGTTTTGTTTTGTTATTTATAGTATCAAAACAATTTTTAGATTCATTTTTTTAAATTTTAAAACAGATTTGCCTAAAAAAAATTTATTTTGTGCATTCTGCAATTAATTTTTGCATATTGTGTCTTTAATATATAAAATAAAAATTTGAAAAATTTATGGCCAAATTTAAATTTTAATAACAAAAAGCATTCTGGTTTTAAAAACATTACTTTTATAATGACTTGTTTTATTTAAAAAATTCTTTAAATAGCAATACATGAAAGCAATACATGAAAGCAACATCAAATGAATTGACTATAGTTACTAGATTTTAAATTCAATTCTTTTTTTTTGAGGCTGCTAGACTGTGAAAGTGAAACTGAAAGTTGTTGTTTTAATTGCAATCAAACGTTGTGTAGTTTTTACTACTTTTTACTGTTACTTTAGTTTTTTATTTGCTTTTTTTTTTAAAATAAACATTATTATGTTATTTATGTGTTTATCAATTTATGTTATTTTACTTTGTCATCATTTTCTTTTATTTACTATTTCAAGTCCATACTTATCAGCTTATTTCAAGTCCATACTTATCAGCTTTTTTTAAGTCCATACTTATCAGTGTAGTGAGTTTTTTGTAAATGATTTTTATATTTTTATAAATATTCTTTCGTGAAATTAAATCTTAAAATTGGTGTTGTTTTTTACTTGCTTGTAATTGTTTTATTTCAAATTAATTGTTATAAAAAAATTTTTTTTAATTTTATTTTTAGGGTAACACTGCTCTTCACTTTGCAATTACTTACAAAAATTATGCTGTGGTCAATATTTTATTAGATTCAGGGGAATGCTCTGTAGATACTATAAATCAGGTTTGTTTTTTTGAAAATGATAATGATTACAACAATAGTAAAACCCAGGAAGAAGAAAATGATGATGGTGATGATAGTTATGATTGAGATCAAAATGATAATGATGAACTTTATGCAACAATTCTTTTTTTGAAAAAATTTCTTATTCTTATTAGTCTGGTTACTCTCCAATTATGATGGCGTGTTTAACTGGTTTTGAAAATAAAAGTGATAAATATATCATGCAAAGATTATTCAGAATGGGAGATATTAATAAGCCAGTAGCAGAAGTAAGTTTATAAAATTTTAAGAAATATTTTATTTAAAAGTTTTTGCATAACTTTTTATAAACTTTAATGAAATATTATGAGGTCATGAGAGTAGGCCACCAAAGAAAATTTTTTTGTATTACATTCATATTTTATTTTTTGTTTCTGTTCACTTTTTTTGATTTCAGATAAACTAGATATAAGTTTAATTTTTCATTCAGTTTTATAGTCTGAACAAGACTGAAAAGTCTCATGTCATTACTTGGTAAAACATTGCTTCATATCAGCTTTTTAAATTTATTAAAAAATAAACATTTAAGCTTAAAAAAAAATATATTAGGCCTTGTTTTTTGAAGCTGTATTATATATATACTAGCAGTAACCAACCCGTAATACGGGTTGTTAGTAAATAAAATTAAAAAAAAACAAAACCGCATATAGAAAAGCCTAGAAATTACTTTAAAATAGAAAAGCCTAGAAAATAACATAAGTTGACTATTAACTACTACTATTAAATTAGCATATTAATATTATCATATATATATATATATATATATATATATATATATATATTATATATATATATATATATATATATATATATATATATATATATATATATATATAATACAGCTTTATTGTCTTAACACTGCCTTTTATATTTTGACACAATTTTGTGAATTTTGATTCAGCTATTTTATATTTTGACACAGCTATATTTTCTGTTTATTTTCTGCACTTTAGTTTTTAAACATAAACATTTACTGTTAAACTTAGTTATTACATTATCTAGTTAGCTAAGGTATTTTTTATCATTTCAGACTTTCCATCAACTCAATGATGACACTTTTCATCAACTTAGCTTTGACACTTTATTAGCTCAGTTAAGAACCAATATAATTTGCATATAGCTTTAACTTAAGTTTATGCCCAACCTAAGTTAAACTGTAGTTATATAATTAATGATGGGTCTGTGAATTTGTAAAACATGATTTATCAATTGTTTCTTTTAGTGGAACATTAAATATAATGGTTAAATAACTAAACACTTTTAATAGTTCTTTATTTATGTTCTTTGTAAACAAGTTTTGTTGACCAAGAATAACATAAAAAGTCAACCATCTAACATTGACATCTTATCCAGGAACATTATTTTTTCTTTTATATAACAGCTTTATTTTAACTTTTTTATAACAAATTTTATTATTATATTTATCTGCTATTCTAATATGTTCAGTCTATTATAATCAGCTATTTTTTTATTTCATTCAGCTGTTACTTTATTTAGTCATTCCTCTATTTTATTCAGCCATTCTGCTATTTGTTTGAAAAATTTTCGTTTGTGCTTTTAATTATTTTTTTTTATTCTAAAAGTTTCACTATTAGATATTAGAATAAAGTGAAAAATGAGACTAAAACAGAAAAAGTAAAATTACAATTAATTATTTTAAAACAAAATCAATCAAAGTAATTGTCATAACAGTGGAAACTTTTATATTTTTGGTAAAATTTGTATTTAAAAAAAATTATTTATGAGTTGGGATTTTTTAATTTTATTCAAATTAATTTTTAAATAGTTTTTAAATATTTAAAAAAAATATATAGTTTTCAACAAATTTTTGACTTCTTCAAACTTTGCTTAGATTTGCAAACTAAGAAGTTGAAATTCAAAAGTTAAAAATTAAGAAAAAAATTCTGTTATCTTTTTAATTTAGACAGGTGAAACCCCATTAATGCTAGCAGTTTCACATGGACACATTGGTGTTGTAGAATTACTATTAGATGTAGGATGCGACATTAATGCCATTGACGATGTAAGCTAAAACATTTTTTTGTTTGGTTATTTAAAATTAATTTTTTATAAAATTCAAGTTATTTTTTTTTTTGTCCTTGTTAATTTTTTTGTCCCCATAAGTATTTTTCTTCACTTTAGTTTCACATACAAGTGTATACTTGTATGTGAAACTAAATTAAGGCTGTGCATATATATATATATATATATATATATATATATATATATATATATATATATATATATATATATATATATATATATATATATATATATATATATATATATATATATATATATATATATATATATATATATATATTTATATATATATATTTATATATATATGTATATTTATATATATATATATATATATATATATATATATATATATATTTATTTATTTATTTATTTATTTATTTATGCATATATATATATATATACATTCCTAAGATTAAGGTCAGCTTTTAGCAATACTGACCAAACTGCTAACCTAAAGTTTGTGATTTTTTGCTGACATTAAAGGTAAGTAAAAATTGCCAACTTTCTTTCTATGCTTTATGGTAAAATCTTTCTTTCAATTTTTTTTTTCTGACCTGATGTCGACCTCTAATAGTTCAAGGCAGCAATAAATTGCTGATCTCAATTTTTAAAATTCTAAGAACTGTATATACAGCGCACACATAATAAAATATAATATTTTTTTTATGCTATAACAAATCCTGCCTGAACTCTCAGTTAATGTTTAATCTTTGTACTGAAGCCCCCGCAGACGACAATTTCATATAGTCTTTCATGAAACATTATTGAATATGTTTGATGCAAGGCTAAGTACAGAAAGATAAGGCATTGAGTCTACCAGCTTCACCATCACATTATTGTTGATTTTTTCCCATGCTTGTTTCAGATTTTTAAATAAATCATGTTTATTTGTTGGTTTACGACCTGAAATTTGTGGATCAAGGTGTTCCCATAGATGTTCAATAGGATTAAAGTCAGGATTTTGTGAAATCCATTCCATTAATCGAATTTTTTTGATCTTGAAAAAGTCTTTCAAAAGGGTTGAAGTGTGCTTTGGGTCATTGTCCTGCTGAAATATCCATCCTCAAGGCATTTTGTCTTTAGCATGTGGTAGCATAACATCCCTAATATCTTTGTACATCTTTTTGTCCATTATGCCATCAATCAAATGGATAGGACCGACATAATCTCTATTGAAGCAACCCCAGACCACATCGTTTCTACCCCCATGCTTTACTGTTGGTAGTTGGTATTTAGGATCGTTTCTATGGCCTTTTGGTTGACGAACATATCTAATACCATCAGATCCAAATAACATAAACTTAGATTCATCACTAAAAAGTACTTTCCACCTTTGTTCTCTTGACCAATTCAAATGTCAAGTGTGCTTTTCGATTCTTCTTGGAAATAAAAGGTTTCTTTGCAGGGCATCTTCCAAATAGATTTGCAGATCTCAAACGATGCTTGGTTGTGTCAACACTACATTTTACATTATAAAATTCTTTCATTTCATCATTTAACAAGACAGCATTTTTGCGTGGATTGTTTTTTGTAGCACGAACTAAAATTTTATCTTGTCTTTCAGATGTAATTTGAGGCCTTCCTGACTTAGAAGAGATTCTATTGTTATTTCTTTCCTTATATCTTTTATCTGCTACTATTGATTTTCCTATATCAAACCGATCCGCTATGTCTCTTGTAGTTCTGCCTTGTTCAATTGCACACAATACCACTTCTTTGACAGCTAAACTTGTGTATTTTCGCTTTGTCATTTTTAAAATTTGTTCAAAGCGTTTTTCTATTTAATTAAAAATACTTTATGCTTTGTTTACTGTTTTTAAACATTAAGTAAAAGCCAACTAGAGTATTGCAATTTTATTATTTTAGTTCTGCACGGATACTTTTGCATGCGCATATTTCAATAAAATGATTTTTTAAGATTATATATATATATATATATATATATATATATATATATATATATATATATATATATATATATATATATATATACATACATATATATATATATTTATATATATCTTTATGTACTTAAAGCGTCTTTTTTTTGCCAATCTAAATCCTTACCAGTTTTTTTGGAAAAAACAAAAACCAAACAATAATTTAAAAACTATTTGCTGCCCCAACTTAACTTGCTCAGTCAATGTAGCAGTCAGTCAGATTTATTTCAGTATGATGTCAGAGTGCTAATCCAAGTATGCTTTTATATGTGTATATATGTTTAAATTGTTGGAATTTGTAATAATAAATTAATAAATGAACTTATATATTTCAAGGAGCAAATTGAGTGATCTTAAAATTTTATTATTTGAAAAAATTCTGATGGTTGATTTTTATATTTCAATAAAAAATATTATAGTAAAAGAAATAAAAGGAAATAATTTCTTCTAGTAAAACATTTTCTGAATTCTTTTAATATTTTTTTAAAGAATTATATTTAAATTTAAAGTTTCAATTTTAAATTTAAATATAAATTGTTTCCGGTCATTCAAATTAAACTAAACTTTATACATTATTGAAGATATTTGGACAGCTTTAAATGTTAATATAGGTATGCTTTTACTTTTTGAGAAAAAAAGTTTTGGTTTACCATTTAATTACCATGGCTACATTTGATCTTTGAATATTTATAGAAATTATACTATCAATCAAAACTCATCATGAAATTGAGTTTTGATTGAAGAAAATATCAAATTCACTTAAGCAGCAATCATGGTAACCATGGTAGTAATAATAAAAAAGAGAAAGAGATGCTTTATGATAATGGGGCAGAGACTCTAGCTTATCAGTTAGAGCGAGTCTGTCTACATTTACAATGCATTTTCGGACAAGAAAAAGAATAGAATATAATAGGTTAGAATGTATAGAATAGAATAGGTTAGAAAAGAATAGGTTAGAATGAGATTTGACTCAAAAGCTAAAAAATAAAAGCTTTCTTTACTGCTTGAATCCAAAACATTATTTGTTTAATTCATTTTTCAAGGAGATGAGTTCAGTTGATACCTCATCTCAGGAAGATGAGTTCAATTTTTATCTCACTGCAAGATAAACCTCTTTTAGTGAGATGAAAAATATCTGCCAAGCGCCACATATTATATATACATATAATAGACAAAAAATCACAATCGTTATTTGTTTGTCTGGTCAGAAGAAGCCAATTTTTTAATTAACATATTTTTCAGACCATTTGTATCAGTTTAAAAGTATTTGTTGTTAAATTTTTTATATATTATTATTATGACTCATTTCTATTATTTTTTAATTTTAATTTTAATTTCATTTTATTATTAATATTACTCATTTCTACTGCCTTTAAGTTTTAAAATTTAAATTTTCTTAAAACAACCCAATAAGTATGAAAATCTCATTTGTAGTTAAATTATTGGTTTTTTCAATCTAGCAAATTTGATTTAATTTCCCCCTGTGTGTGTGTGTGAGTGTGTGTGTGTGTGTGTGTGTGTGTGTGTGTGTGTGTGTGTGTGTGTGTGTGTGTGTGTGTGTGTGTGTGTGTAAGAGAGAGATTTCTATATATAAAGTAAGTGACTAGGCCCCGGCTAAAAATGGGACTTTTTGCAAACCTGGCCCTAGCAAAGTTATAAGATTTAGTACGGGTTATTAGCCAGGGCTTGAAAAATATTTAGAATACTTTATATATTATAATTTTATACTTACATTTACTATTTATTAAATATCATAATATATTTATGTAATTTTAGACTCTAATTTACTTCCAACATTGTTGCAAGCAACCTCTATTAAGTTATGAGTTACTTTAAAATAGAGGATAGGGTTAAAAAACTAGGAAATGGTTAGCTGAAGACTTAAAAAATTGTAGGTTATATAAAAAAGGAAAAAATGAAGTTGTATGAAAAAGGAAAAAGTTGTAGGTTGTATAAAAAAGGAAAAAATGAAGATAGTTAAGAGTTATAAGGTTTTTTCGATATGTAAGGAAAAAAACTGGATTAATAAAAGTTTTTATAGCAAAAAGGGATATCGTAAAAGATTGCAGCTTATTGAGTAAGAAACTGAGCAAGAACAAGTTTTGGTTTATTGCAGAGATAATAGCTGGTTTGAGCATTGACCATGATAGTATTTTTAGAAAAAGAAAAAAATGCAACCATGCAACAATGGGAGAGTGGCTCAAGCTTGGCAAATAAAGCAGGTCTAGTTACATTTATAATGTGCTTTTAGTCTTTGTCTGCTTGTTCTAAGCACTCAAAAAGTGAAGACTTTTTATCAAGACAAAAGTATAAAGTTGAGTCATCAGCAAATAGAGCCACTTTAGGTGTAAAATTTGCACAAATATTGTTATTGTGAATAAGAAACAAAACTTTATATAAAGAAATTAATTACAGAGTGAAGACTAATTGTAGGATAGTTAGAGAGGTCAAATTGTTTTCTAGAGTTTTTCAAAATTGAAACCATTCTTTAACGGGTTTTAATAGTTTAGCAAAAATTAAAGAGAGCTCTGAAGAACACTTCTTTGAAAGAAATCTTGTCTGAAGCACAAACTATAGAAGTGTTTAACTGAAAATGAACTTTAATATTGGAAGCCAGAGTGATTTAGATGTTTAACAATGGGTTGACCTGTTTAACTGGTATGGCAGGAAGAATATGGCCTATAGATTCAATAGTCAAGTTAAAGTTCTTTCCAAATAGCTCTACCCTATTCTAGGGAGAAGTAAAGAGATTAGACCCATGAATAAAAGACTAAATGTTAGACACTTGAGTTAATGACATTGTTGAAGACTTTCCAAAAGTCTCTAGAACCTAACATCTGAAATAAGATACAAGATTTAGTAAACTGAAAGTAGTAGAGCGTAACATTGGACAGGACCTTTTTACATTGGTTTCTTACAATAATAAAAGTTAACATTTGTCCTTTTATTATTGCAAGAAAAAGATGGAAAAAATGATTATGTTTTAATAAAGCAACTGCTCAAGATGGTGAAAAAAGTGGAGTAGGATGAGCTTTGACTTAAAATTGAAGAGACAGAATAAAAGTTTCCAAGCTTTTATTCTAGTAGTAACAAAAGGTTCTAAGATGCACATTTATGCATACATAGTATGGATATAAACATATGTTTGCTATTTATTTAGATACTTACATACAATATCTTTTTATAATTGTAAAAACTTTAATATTTATGTGATGTAGTATTTGCTGAAAGAGATGATGATCAGATGCATGTGTGTTGTGACTAACATGACAAGAAAAGGAGGCGTTTTTTTAAATCTTAGACAGATTTAAAAAAACGTTGTATCCAACAACGTTTGTTTAAGAAAATTGAATTTGATTTAGGTAATTGATTTAGGTATCAGCACGTAGAGAGTTAGCAGCATCAGCAAAAAATGTTAGTGGTAGAAGAAAACTTGAATAGAGTGCCTTACATATTGTATGAGTGAGCTTTAGTTAAGGAAAGAAAATGCTCTTGATTGTTTATATAAGAGAAACAGCAAAAAAGAGGAAGGCTAAAGCCTCATGATGATGATGATGATGATGATGATGATGATGATGATGATGATGATGATGATGATGATGATGATGATGATGATTATAATTATCATGTTGATTATAATGATGTTCATATATGCTTATATCAGGGATTATCTTTTTATATATATATTTTGAATAAAAAAAAAAAACTTTAGGATGATGTTCATATATGCATATATCAGGGATTATCTTTTTATAGCATATATTTTGAATAAAAAAAAATACCTTAGGATGTATAAATGTTTATGCAGCTCTGGTCTCAAACCTGGCCCTGGCTATATATTTTATCAAACCCGGCCTCAGTACTGGCCAAACTTCAACCACGGTTGCTTACTATATAGGGAGAGTGAGAGAGATATGTCATATATTATAATATATGACATATCTCTCAATGTCATATTTTATAAATATAGATATAATAAAGTTTGTTTTTCTTTAGGATGGCGCAACAGCACTTATGTGTGCCTGTGATCATGGCAACGTAAATATTGTAAAAACTTTGTTGGGTAATCCAGATTGTGATGTCACTATAGAAGATAATGTAAAGCTATAATTTTTTTTGACTTATGTATGCCGTTGAAAAATCTAGAATTGCCTGGTGAGGGTGGGGTGTTAATTCAAAATTTATGGGGAAGGGTTCTAAAACTGTTATATGCAACAAAGGGGCCTTAAAAGTGCTGAAAAAATGTCACATAATTGACATAAGTGGATAAATAAATTATGTTGCAAAATACAAGTTTCCATATTTTTACACAGATAAAGGTTTTATGTTAAGCAATTTCAAATGAATTTAGCAACACTAAACAAAATTTGTGCTAAAATACCATTTTCTCAGTGAATGGAATTATGTTATACATCAATTCACTACAACAATACATAACATGGATGTAAATGCTAAATGACTTTTATAAATTCATCCATTAAAAATGTTTTTTTTATTATTATTTTGTTCTGTAAATTTCTTTACTGTAGAAAAAAAACTATATCAAAATGTGTTCTAAATTTAAATTCCAGTTATCTCAGTTCCATATTGGAGCGCCTTTATCCACTTACGTATTCAATCGACAATAGTTCCCACCGAAAAAATTGGTCGTTAAAAGCAAAATAAAACTTTTTTAGATGTGGTGGTATGGGATATACTTCCCATCCCCCAAACACTGCTCTATACAGTTCCTTATTTAAATTTTTAAAACTTCCCCATTTAATTTTTTTAAATTTCTTTTTTTCCATTATTATTTATTGCTTTCTATTTTCTTAAGCTTGCATTTTATTCAACTAGTGTTATATTTAATTTGTTGTTAAGGAGGGAAGCACAGCATTAAGTATTGCCATGGATGCACGAAGAAAAGACCTTGCTCTTCTTATTTATGGAACTCTCAATTTTGATGCACGTGGAAGAATTAAACTAAGCCCTTCGGTAATATTTTCTGTTCAATTTTAATTAGGCAGAGAAGCCAATATATATTGCAAACGCTAAAATTAAGTTTAGTGTTTGCAATATATATTGGCTTCTCTGCCTCCTCCGTTTTTCATTTCTATTTGCAACAGGTTTTAAACTTATATGATCATTTTTACTTAACTTTTAGAAACAATCGTTGCTGGGTCTTGGCAGACGATCTCCCTCTCCCGTAATTGGTAGAAAATAGTTGCGTGTTAAATTATTAAAATCGTTCAAAAGTCTCACTTTTTAGTAGACGGTGCTCCCAAATTCCATAAATATGAATATCTATGTCATATAAATTAACCTTGGTACAACTAAGATACGAGGACAAAAAAAGAAGAAAACTTTGGGGTCAAATTTTTGAAATTAAAATAGTTCTTGCAAATCTTAGTTATAAGTAGAAGCGGAATAAAGCTGTCAAGTAAACATTTAAAACAGTTTAATAATTGATATTAAGCACTGCACTATGCATATATATATATATATATATATATATATATATATATATATATATATATATATATATATATATATATATATATATATATATATATATATATACATATGTGTGTATATATATATATATATATATATATATATATATATATATATATATATATATATATATATATATACATATGTGTGTATATATATATATATATATATATATATATATATATATATATATATATATATATATATATATATATATATATATATATATATATATATATATATATATATACATATGTGTGTCTGTGTGTGTTTATTAGTAATTATAATTAATTTTCACCTTTTTTTCTCATGTTAATATTTAAAAATAAAAGTGATAAGTACATTGTAATTTATTTTATTGTTAACGTTTTTTTAATTATTATTGTTTTATTAACTTAAAATTAGAGCTATTCATTTAATGAAAAATTTTACGTTGTTTATTGTTGAATAAGAAATCTTTTGTAAAATTGTTTATTATAAGTTGATACGATTAAAGGATATTCGAAAAAAAAAAAGTTAAGAAAGTCAAAAAGTAATCGAGAATATAAAAATGAGTGATTCGAAGAAATTGCAGTGTGTTAAAGTTAATGTTTTTTTGCAGATGTTTTGAAGAAGTTGAAAAATGTTGAAGAGGACAAAAAAAAAAAATATTCCAATAGTTAATAAAGTAGTACTGTTAATTTTTTTCAGAATTCCAAGAATTTATTTTTAAAGGCTTGTATTATAAAACTTTTTAAAATTGTCATAAAAATTATTATTTTAGTTTCTAATTGAATTAGTAACTATTGCACAAGTGAATTATTTATTGCAAAAGTTGTTAAAAATACATTCTAATAAGAAAAAAAAAAAATTTATTCGCCTCATTTTGCCCTTTTTGTTGTTAAAAATTTTTGTGTGATTTTCAATATAATTTCAGTGTTTTCCGGTGTTTCTATAATCAGTGGAATGATTATATGTGTAATGCAAAAGCTTGATTTTCATCAGAAGGAATTCAAAAACGTGCTTTTTTAATCATAAAATTAGAAAAATAATAATGAAAAAATATTTAATTTTTTTTTAATTAGGAACCGCTAACCTACTTCTGTAAATAAAATATTTAAAAAGTTAAATTAAAATAAAATGTAAGAAAAGTCTTACATTTAGTGACGCATAGTGCGATGGCGCCTGGGCCACGAGAACGCATTTTAGATATGTCGTATTTGTTTATTTTTTTTATTGCTGCAGCAATAAAATCTAAAAATAAAAAAAAGCTGCCTTTACATGTAAAAGGAGCTTTTTTTTTATTTAATATTATTATTTTTTTAAAGTTATTTTACTGATAAATGAACGTGTGGATTTTTAGGAAAAAAAGCATTTCGTCTAGTTAATAAATAATGATTGCAGTAATAAAAGTTTGAAAAACATAACAGCGACGACTTATCGATTAGTGCTAATTAGTCGGCGTTTATGAAGATTCTCAAAAATACTTATTAATAAGAGTAACTATCCTTTAATTTTAATAGAATAATTTTTCCTAATATATATTTTTGGTAATGTATGTGTATTTTTTCTTTAAAGTCGCCAGCAACGGGACTGAATATGCACATATTTCATAAGTGCGAAGCAGTTACAGAAACTGGTATAAGTGAAAATTAGCATAAGTACGCCGAATAAATTTGCAAACATTGGCATAAGAGCGAAATACCAATTTGCAAATATGCCAATATTTGCAATTTTGTTCGGAGTACTTATACCAGTTCGCACTTTTGCCAGTTTTTGTAACTACTTCGCACTTATGACAGTCCGCTCTTATGTCAATATTTGCAAATTCTTTTGGCTAATTTGCACATATGCCAGTTCGCACTTATGAACTTTGCGCTTATTCAGCGTCCCAATTTAATAATCTTAAAAAATTAAAAACTTTTGACATTTCAAACGAGTTGTAAAGTTTTATGCTATTTCAAAATAACTACAAGCTTTATTTGCAATTTTGAGTATTCAGTCGATAGTTGTAGAGTATAAGCAATTGTTTACAATTTAGTTATTAAAATCAATTAAAAACATGGTTGGAAATAAAAATAAAAAGAGTTTAAGAAAACAAGAAAAAAAGAGAAGCAAAATGAAGTGCTCATAAAAAGCATGCAAATTCTATATTACCATTTGTTAAACATGGGTGTACATCAAATCAAAACCCATCTACTTGCCATATTGATAAATCAACGAATAGAAAAATATGTAAAAATGCAAATTCATGAAAAATTCTTTTAATATAAAAGCAATTTTAACATAGTTTAATCTTTAAAACGTAACACCCCTCCCCCCCCCCGGTCAACATTGACTTTAAAAAGACGTCAGAATGCCATTTTATGTTTCCAAATATTAAAAAAAATTGAATAAATAAAATAAATTCTTACGTTCTTATTACTTGATTAACAATTAAGACTTGTTTTGTAAAAAAGTTTTTAAAAGAAAAATGAAGTACTTTAATATAACTATTTTTTTTTTTTGATTATACCATGATACCATCGAAGTCAGCTTTGAGTAATTCGACAGCCTAGGACAAAGTGAACTTGGTAGTCTAAATAAAAAAATTAACTACTAGCCAAGCCCAAAAAGATGCATTAAGGAAAAAAAGACTCGAGAGAGGTTGCTGAACAAGCATTTTACACCGGCAAATGTCACATTTATGCAGATTTAAAGATAATGTCTTAAAGTAATTACGAATGATGCAAAGAATGGACAAAATCTCATTCAAAATATATCATTATTTAAAAACTTTGGCATATAAAATTCGCCGAATGGTCACACACGAGCAGTGAACGCCTGAAGGAAGTAATGAAGTACATTAGAATAAAGGAGAATTATTTATTAGACAAAGCATTTTTTGACAGTTGTCAAGATAAAAATAAAGATTAATAGAGGAATATTTAAAAATAAATAAGACAGGCTATACACCCAAAACAGTACTCAACAATAATAACAATAAAAAAATAAATAAATAAATAAATAAAATTTTTTTGTTTTATACAACATTTAAAAATAATAAAAATGTAAGCAGCATATATACAACAAATACATTACCAGACAAAAACTTATAAAACAAAAAACCGATCACAAAATAAAAAATATGCTATCAACAATAAAATGCCTAATAATGGAAAAAAAACATTAATGCTAATTTGTAAAAAATAATTTGTGTAGTGATTAAGTAATAAACATCTCCTCAGAGTCGCGTCTATTATTACTGGCATTTCGATGAGGATCAGCATTTGTAACTAGTTTATCCCGTCAGACAAACGTCATCGCCACTTATGCTTTATCCCGCGACTTACGCCTATTCCATACTGCAGTAAAAAAGGACTCATTACAAATAGCCAAAACCCATCCAAACCCAAATTTGTAAAGCACCAATATTTTTTTGATGATATGATATAAAAAATGTAGATTTACTAAACAATCAAAAATAAAAATAACTAAATAAAACACTTACCTTACCACCAAAAGAAAACATGAAAACAAATAAATTAAAATTCTAATAGAAACATAAAAAAAAAATTCATAAATTTATTTTAAGAAATAAAACTAAATTATTAGCATAAATAAGCCTAAGATAATCAATCAGGAAGCAGTATACCTCATTAAAAAATTTAATCAACAAAACAACAATAGCCTTAAATAAACTCTGACGCTGTCATAGATACCTTATTCGAAATATGACAACCAATCAAAAGTGTAGAAAAATGAGCAACATGCGATACCCAAAATCATAACAATAAATGAATAATATATAATAGCAAAAAAGAACGTTGCACAAAAACCTTAAAAATGTAAGCAGCATATATGTAAACATTTTATGAAGGATATAAATTATAATTACGAATGATGCAAAGATTGGACAAAATCTCATTCAAAAAAATATCATTAGTAAACTGTTTAGGCATTCTTGCGTCATAGTCTTTCTCAAATAAATTTTGATTTGTTTTAAATTGAAAAACTTTATTCACCCAATGCAATAGTAATCGGAATTGTCAAAGCTATATGAAGGGCTATCGCAACATTTGGAACAGCAGTATTCAAACCATGATAATAAATAAGACGTTAAGCATGATCAGCTAGAATACTCAACTTGATGTTTTTTCAATCTATATTTTCTTCAGTTGTGATCTTGATTTTTATATCTAAAAACAATCGACGGCAAAAACAAAATTTTTGTGGTTTGAAGCAACGACGATCTGAGCACTCACCATTTCGTAACTTCGTAAAAAAAAATCCCACAAAGAAATGCCACTTTTCAGAACTCTCATCTTGCAATAATTTGTTTTTGAATAATAAAGCGGGCTTTTTTTTGATAAAGTAAACACGTTTTTTTATCTCTAATTGAAAATAGTCATAAGCCTGTACCTTTCCAATCGTCGTCAATACTTTGGTTCTCACTTGCATTGCCTGATTCTGTATCTTCCGTGCCGATGATTTGTTTCTTTAAATAAACCGATTAATTGATCACTTTTTCTAAAGCCATCTGACTTCTTTGACTAAATGGTAAATGGGTAAATAACTTTGCACCTTTTTTATTCTGAGCATCTGAAGGTAATATTACTGAATGTGTTGGCAGCTCACGAGTAACAAAATTTAATAAAGCATCTATTTATGTTGAAAGAAACGCATCTTTCTCAGCTTTTCTTTTGCTTTTTGATGCGCCAGATTCAAAAGAACGTTATAACATTTGTCGAAAAAAAAAAATTGTTAAGAGCCAAGTTTATTAAATTAATTCGAGCAACTTTCTTTTATAAGCAAACTTTCATTTGATTACAACTTATCTATCAATATTGAAGCAGATTGAACCTTTAATTATGAAGGATAATTTTATTAATGGCTAGTGTATTTGGTTTTAGTAACTTTGTAATAATAATTGATTTTCAAATTTTTGAGAACTTTTACTTTTATATGTAGAATTTTATTTTTTGATTGTATTTCTGAATTAGCTTTTTCAAGTCTTTTATTTAAAGATTTATTGCTCTATAATGAAGAAAATAACAAATTAATAAATAAAATAAATAACATATTTTTTCATCTATTATATAAGGATTTTGAAATTATTCTTTAAGTAGGATACTTTTGAAATGATATGAAATAATAACATTTTCAAGTTTCTTGACGATTTAGATTGTTGACCATATCAAATGTTGTTTTAAATTATTTTTATTTTTACCTATCTGAAGTTATGGGTTCCTTATTCTGTTTAAATCCAACTTACCTTTTTTGCATTAACTTTTATGAATACTATACTGTATCACTGAGACGGTGGGCTAACTTAAGTTAATGAGTTGAACTGTTGTCTCCATAAAAAATGTATCCGTTCGTTCGATACGGAAATTAAGAAGATTGGACTAAAACAAAGTTTTATTCCATATTACTTTATTCAAGTTCTATCTCCTTTTTTCTTTGTATTAACGTTGTTGTAACATAAATATAACGAACAAAAACACTTTATAGTGTTAATACTTTTGTAATACAAATTATTTCAACAAAAAATATCCAATATTCGTCTATTAAAGTCGTTTGCAAAAACTAAAACAACGAAAAACTGCTTATAATTAATTAAACAAAACCACCATTTTGTTCATTTACCCCCTATTAAAAAGTCATATACTAAAACCGCACGCTGTGAAAGTCTAGTTTGTAGAGAAAAATACATTTTAAATACAGACTAGACAGTTAAAATAAGAATACCTTACTGGCTGAAAATTAAATTATCTGATATCGTTTAAATATGAGATTTATTTTAATGGGTTAAAAATAAAATTCGTCAAAAAAAAAAAACTGAAACAAAGTTATTTACTCTTTTTTTTTTGAAAATAAAGTTAGTAGGTTTGATTTTTTTTTATTATATGACACGGTATTTTACTGTATGACACGGTTTTTAATTGCGGCATTTTTGCTAATGATTCTAATACTAACTTCTAATTTTTTTATATTATAAAATTAAAAAAATAATTGATATATAAATGGTAATAATCTGGCAAAAAGTCTATACGTATTATGCATTAAAATTCAAATTATACATTAAAAAAAAAATAATCATTATGAGGCCTGCCGGTTCCTTTTTTGACAAAAATGCTAGTTGTTTACGTCACTTTATTATTCAATTTATGGTGAACTTCTTGTTATTATTTTTTTTTTTTACTAAAAAAGCAGCGCTATTTTTAATTTTGTAAAAACGTCAAGATTGTAACTTGCCAATCGTACGCCACCTAAAAGTTACAGCATTAACAGTAATTATAATTACGCTTACTAAAAATTTTTTTTTGCATTTTGAACTCAAAAAATGTTCTGAAATGATTCAAAGAGTTCAACACAGGCGTAATAGTTGAAGAAAATTCTGTTTGTTTTTTTGCGTTATGAAAAAAATCAACTTGAATTGCAACAAAAAGATAGAATCAGTAGCAGTAATTTTTTTCTAGACTAATCTCCTTGGCGGACGCCCTTGTAACTTGAAAGTAATCTGCAACAACAGTAATTACAACATTAGCAGTGACTATATTGAAATGACCGATGATTTGCAACCGTTGATCAATAAGTTGCGCACCGTTTTGAAATTGTTTCACCATTTTCCAACAAAAAATAATCAAACAAACACACACACACACACACACACACGCACACACACATACGAAAAATTTGATAAAGACTTCCACTAATAATTGACTCCAAAACTCGCCGAAATAGCTTGCACACAATGCTCGAACGTTTTGTAAAATTGAAAAATTGCATTCACAAGACCGTGATTCCAAAATTGACAAAGAGTTCGATGCAATAAAAGAAAACCTTAGCCTTTCTGAAAAATAAAAAATGTAACAACAACAGAAGATTGAACGTTTCGAATAATTTATAAAAAATCATACGCAGTGAGATGGCAGTTTTCGATGAAAGAGTAACTCGTAGCATTAGGGTGGAGTGATTTTGGAATCAGAACTATAGTAACCCTGGAGTAAATAGATTATCAAAAAATAATAACATTATATATAACATGTATTCGCTAATAATGTCTGGAAAATGGCTGGTTTACAAAAATGTACATTTATTAAGACATAATCTATTTTTGTGTAAAACCGCCATTTTTCGAATTTTTTTAAGTAGGCATTTTATGTAGGCATGCGCATTGCGCGTTGTTTTGTTGATTTGAGATAAAAATTTATAAATAGAAAATAATTTATAGAAAAAATGTCTAAAAGCAAATCAAGGAAAACTCGTTTTTAAAATAGTCTGAAATACGGAGGTCTCCCATCAGAAATGCCTTCAGCTGATCTTCCAACATTTCGTCAAGTAATTCAGTTTTTCTATTTCACTGTAAACAATAACCAAAACATTTCAAAACAGAATCTACTAGAAGAGGTTGAAAATTCTCTGAGTACTTTGTGGAATAAAGTAAAGCCACGTCTTCCTCTTCTTCAGAGAAATTCAATCTTAAGAAAATTACGAAATCTTTTTGAAAGAGTAAAATCTATAAACCGAGGACGTTGTAAATCTAAAAGTAAGGAGTATCAAGATTTGATTTTAGATAAACTCTTTGATATTTCAGCATGTACTTGTGAATTAGCAACTGTTTTATGTAATGACAGAGATGTTAAGTGTAGCATCATCAATTGCCAAGTAGAGCACATCTTGTGTCTTTATAAAACTAGAAAGGTATTTGGTTACATTTTTTATATATTATTGTATATACTAAAATATTTGTTGTTTTAATCTGCAACTATTTATTAATTATATGTAATTATTTCACTTCAATTGAACTGAAGTAGTTGATTATTTTCAATAATTGTATTTAAGGTCCCTTTTGAAGACAGGGCATATATTCGTGGCCAGAGAAACAAGATTGGTCCTAAAAAGTGCTCAATGTTCTTAAAGAACAGCGCAATAGTAAATTTGTAAAAACACTCATCTAATTTTTTTCCTTAAATAACTTGTGTCACCATCAGTAAGTTCATCAGGAAGCTTCCTGGCTATACTAATAGAATATGAAAAAAAAAAATAGATGTGTTTGTACTATTTTATCTATATATATATATATATATATATATATATATATATATATATATATATATATATATATATATATATATATATATATATATATATATATATATATATATATATATATATATATAGTATATATATATATATATATATATATATATATATATATATATATATATATATATATATATATATATATATATATATATATATATATATTAGGTACGTGAGTAAAAATTTCAAATTGTTTGAATACTATAATGTTATATATCATTAGAAAGAGGATTATTACAGTATTTTAAAGGTGAAAGTATCAAAATCGAACAATTGGTTCAAAAGTTATGACGGTTTAAGTACCGATTTTTCGATATTAGGATTTGTTGAAGAAACTGTGGTCAAAATAATGTTTTTTTTTTTACTTAAATTGTCATAACTTTGTCAATTCTTATCGAATCTTAAAGAACAGCGCAATAGTAAATTTGTAAAAACACTCATCTAATTTTTTTCCTTAAATAACTTGTGTCACCATCAGTAAGTTCATCAGGAAGCTTCCTGGCTATACTAATAGAATATGAAAAAAAAAAATAGATGTGTTTGTACTATTTTATATATATATATATATATATATATATATATATATATATATATATATATATATATATATATATATATATGTATATATATATATATATATATATATATATATATATATATATATATATATATATATATATTAGGTACGTGAGTAAAAATTTCAAATTGTTTGAATACTATAATGTTATATATCATTAGAAAGAGGATTATTACAGTATTTTAAAGGTGAAAGTATCAAAATCGAACAATTGGTTCAAAAGTTATGACGGTTTAAGTACCGATTTTTCGATATTAGGATTTGTTGAAGAAACTGTGGTCAAAATAATGTTTTTTTTTTTACTTAAATTGTCATAACTTTGTCAATTCTTATCGAATCTTAAAGAACAGCGCAATAGTAAATTTGTAAAAACACTCATCTAATTTTTTTCCTTAAATAACTTGTGTCACCATCAGTAAGTTCATCAGGAAGCTTCCTGGCTATACTAATAGAATATGAAAAAAAAAAATAGATGTGTTTGTACTATTTTATATATATATATATATATATATATATATATATATATATATATATATATATATATATATATATATATATATATATATGTATATATATATATATATATATATATATATATATATATATATATATATATATATATATATATATATATATATATATATATATATATATATATATATATATTAGGTACGTGAGTAAAAATTTCAAATTGTTTGAATACTATAATGTTATATATCATTAGAAAGAGGATTATTACAGTATTTTAAAGGTGAAAGTATCAAAATCGAACAATTGGTTCAAAAGTTATGACGGTTTAAGTACCGATTTTTCGATATTAGGATTTGTTGAAGAAACTGTGGTCAAAATAATGTTTTTTTTTTTACTTAAATTGTCATAACTTTGTCAATTCTTATCGAAAAACAAATATCTTAGTGTCAAAAGATAGGTGTAAGAGTGGGCTAAACTTTAACCACCGGGCGTTTCAGACGGACAGAGGGGGCACCAAACCACCACCATACCCGTACAAAACTGAAAACTTTTTTCAGAAAAAAAGTTTTTTTAAAGACATAAGCAATATAAATATTAAAACAAATTGTTTTAAACTTATACTTTACCATTAAAATATATGAGAGGTGTATGTTAGCAATAGAGGTGGGTGTGGTGGTGGTGGTGGTTTGTTACACCCTAGTATCAAAAACAACTTGATTTTATATTTATATCTTTACTGAAACGTGTAAAATTAGTATACAATATAAAATTATTTTATACATGATCTTACGTCTACAAGTGGTGTTTCTATTACAGGAGGGCGTATGCCCCCACCCACCCACCCATCCTAAAAAAAATATATACAATTACTGTTTTCAAAATTTGAATAATAAATTTGAAAATGAAATTATGAAATTGGAAATAAATTAAAAAATAAATTCATATCAGACAACCATCAAATATGGAAGATGAATGTAAAACTCATAGTAGATATGTTGATGATGTTTTAAAGGGGAAAGAAAAAAAAGAGGCATTTAGAATGCCTCTTTCCCCTTTAAAACATCATCAACATATTTACTACGAGTTTTTCCCCCCTCTAACCTAATATTATTATTTAATTGGTTATATATTACTAAAAAAATTATACAACTACTATTGTGGGACTATAATTAAGTCAATTGGCTTTAAAAAACATATCATCTTTATAACCAAGTATAGCAAATACCTATATTATTGTCTTTCATGTGATTCTCACATTAACAGAACCATACAGTATGGTTAACGAGCTAACCATTTTCTTCGGTTAATAAACAAATTTCCTGTTTCAAAATAAATATTATTTATGCAAGTCACAACACTTGCAACATATTTTTGACAAGTCACAACACTTGCAGTGTTATTTAATTAATTAAATTGTAACTCACTGAAAACAACATCAGCAGCAAGCTGGATCTTTTTCATGCAATAGTCAATAGCTCCAATATCAGTTTTATCATCTTTCCAGTAAGAAATGGTGTAAATAAAGTTATTTTTTCTTTTATTAACTTTTTCTACTCTTTCGCTATATAAAACACTTTTGCATGTTTTTGGATCGTACCATTCATGTTCTAGTTTCTTCCGAACAATTCTATCTGACATGACATCTTCTAAATCAAATAGTTGGTCATTGGACAAGCGCTTGCATGAATTAATAATTTCGTTAAAACTCAATTTGGATAGCTCACGCTCTAACTTTCTTTTTTCTTTTTCATCCATTTTTTGGCGCTTGATTTTTTGTCTTTGGCAAATCTCATCTCTCACTTTGCATCGATGCAGTTGATTTGTAAATCTGTTTTTATGTGCTACATTAATTGACCATTTAACAATCTTTTTTCTTAAACTTAAATCTTTTTAAAAAAAATTTAAATCAAAACATTTATTCAACAAGGAACACTAACACAGCATAAAAATACTTTAAATGATATAGTAACTAAAACAATTCAAACTTAACTTACTGATTGTTTGTTCTAAATTGTCTACAGAAAAAAAAGAGTGACTTAAAAAAATGTAAGTATTAAGTATACAAAAATGTAACTAACAAGAAATAATATTGTTAGACAACAATCTACACAGGCATAATAAAGAACTGTATTAGAAAACTAATATCATTTATATATGTATATATATATATATATATATATATATATATATATATATATAAAAATATATATATATATATATATATATATATATATATATATATATATATATATATATATATATATATATATATATATAGAACATATATTATAATAGCATCTATTTAATAACTACTAAGCTATTGAATACAGAAAGTAACTAACTGATGTTGTCGGCTGCACTACAACTTTGTTTATCTAAAACAGTGAAAGAAATATTTAAGTTATACATAAAGATTTATATCGAAACAACTTATCCATAAAGATATTTCTTATTAAATAAAAACAACGTTCAATCTTCAAATTAGATATGATTCATCAATAATTTAATTCACATCTAATTCTTATTAATAAATTACTAGATGAAATACTAGAAGAAACCTTTACTTTCTTCCTCCATTTTATTTCTAAATCAAATATAAAATTAAAGTCTTATTTTAATATTTACTAAAAATCGTTTTATTAAAGTAATTCCTTTTAAATGTACAAATTTTTTAACTATATTTTTATTCTAAAATATCTAGGTTTACAATATCAATTTATGACATAAGTTAAATATTGCTAATATGAATACTATATATGTAAAATAAATATAAATAAAAACAATCAATAGACCCCTCTGTCTCCCGCGCCAACATCAGGTAAAATGTAAATTAGGTAACAAAAGTGCAGCAAGAAATAAGGTGACTGCTACAAAATATTTTTCAGCGAAAATTGGCAGGTGCATAGATAAATGAATAAATTTAATAAAAAAAATGGATAGAAAAAAAAAAGACTTTATCCTGGGCATTAAATTCACCACAGAAGTACAACCAAAATTTTGACATCAATAAACTCGTAAATAAATTAAGTGAGTATAATTAAAAACCAATCGAACTAATGCTTCAACTATTCTTCTTTCTAAAAATAATCTATGTTGATAACGAATACTAAAAAGTTATTCCACAAGGCCTTCCTCAAGCACTCTAACTTTTAAGAGACTACGAAAAACGTGGAACAGAATTTTAGCACAAAATTCGGTTCCGTAAAACGCGGTACTCACGTACCTATATATATATATATATATATATATATATATATATATATATATATATATATATATATATATATATATATATATATATATATATATATATATATATATATATATATATATATATATATATATATATATATACATATATATATATATATATTTATATATATATTTATATATATTTATATATATATATACATATATATATATATATATATAAATATATATATATATATATATATATATATATATATATATATATATATATTACGATTTCAACGTTTTTTAAATGTTGGTCCTACAAAGTATGCTGCTTGAGATATATGACTTTTTTTTCATATTTTGAATATTAAGTATTTTTACAGGTAAATGATTCTGAGGAAGAATATAATCCAGTAAAAAGTTCTCAATATAATTTAATGAAACTTGATAGATTTGCAATGGAGGCTGTCAGGTATATAAAATTTTTATACATATTGAGTTTAGATAAGAATTTTTTATATATACTATATTAAAAGTGTGAAAAAAAAAAACAACATTTTTCATCCCCAGTAAGTGTTTTTTTTAATATGGGAGGGTGAATATAGAATGTTAAAGGATCACATATAGATAATATACTTTGCTTTTTCAGATTTGTTTATTTATTTCATAGTTTCTTAATTGTTGGTATGATGTCTCATCTCGTGCTGCAGCTGCACTAGCAAATGCTCTATTTCTAGATTTTAGTTGTAGATCGAAGCAAAATTGAGAGGTAAATACTATTTCATTATATAAGTTAGACAAATATAAATATATCTCTTTATTTAATAGTTTATATAAATGCTCATTTACAAAACATTTAATATGATATTTAGCTAAATATAATACTTTGAGTTGTTTTATAGAGAGAAGAAGAAAGTAATGTCAAGGTATGGTAATCAACATGATGATAATTTAAGTAACTAGGTGTATTTGGGTTTTGATGGTAAAGATGATAAAAATGTTCTTCAGTTTAAGAATGTCATTGAAAATGGAGAAACTTGGTTGTCGAGAGTTACTGAAAAAGAACATCATTTAACTTTTACTAATGAAAATAGTTTTAAAAATGGTTCATATCTCTCTAATAAAAATCTTCCATCAAATGGTGCAACTGGTTTGCTTCAAAGTGAAATTGTATATGTTCTGAAAGAGTATGATAGTTTAAATTCAGTACAAGCTCTTCTTCTTGATAATACAAATGTCAATACAGGTTTCAAAACTGGAATTGTTGCATGTTTAGAAAAGAAATTAAACCTTATCGGTTGTACTTTGCATCACAATGAACTTCCATTTCGAATAGTATCCAAAATAGTTGATAGCAGTTCAAAGTGTCCAAATAAATTTTCAGGACCTATTGGAAAGCAAGTTTCTATAGATTTCCATCTTAACCCACAAGTGAAGTTTACCAAAATTGATACTCCAGTAGAGATACTAAATATTCCCATTGAAGTGATAAATGATTTAAGCCACGATCAAAAACTATTATTTGAATATTGTCTTGGAAATTCTAAAGGATTTGTCAATAACATATTTTTTAGAAGAAAAATTGGTCCACTAAACAACGCAAGATGGTTGACTTTAGCAATTCGAGTCATGGCTTTGTATACTCGTACTGAAGCACCAAGTCTTGATCATGTATAGCTTGTAAGGTTTATTGTACAAGTGTATGCATACACTTGGTTTCTTATCAAAAGGTCTTCTAAATTTATGGATTCTCCGAGTATATTCTTTAAAATGACAGAACAGATAAGGAAGCAAGATGAAAAAATACAAAACATTTGTTTTGAAAATCAAAAAAAAAAGTTCATAATGTCTATTGCTAGAGAACTTTTTATATTGTATGCTTAGAGATGAAGAATCTAAAACATAAGGGAACAGGCGTTACTAGTCATTAAAAAACTCAGGACAAGTAAAAATAAAGAGTGCCGTATTACAAATATTGCTAATGTTGAGATAAACTTTCAAGCAACTTCTTGGATAGAATTAATTGACTTTAAGAAAAGCAGTGAACCGGTATCAACAATATGGTTGAAAGATGACAAAATTGATGCACTAGTTGCAACTAAAGAAGTTCCGAACTTACCTGAATTTCCTTCTCGCGCGCAGAGCGTAGAACGCGCTGTCAAATTAGTTACAGAGGCTAGTCACCAAGTATATGGCAGGGAAGCTCGTCATAAATATATTTTAACTAAACTAAAATCCAGGGAAATACGACCATATTTTGAAACTAAAAACGACTTTGTGGTTTTTTAATAATAAATTTTGTTATGCATTTGATGTTAATAAAACATATTTATGTAAATGTACTTACTTTTTCAATGCGAGGAATATAAAAGTGTGTTTAGGATTTAGGACCAATGCAGTAGTAAGGGTAGTGGTAAAGTGTCGACTCACATTTGCAAGGTATTTATTTTAGAAATATTTCGCCTTTGGCAATTGAAATCTTGATAAACATATTTTCGTGAATTTAAGTTTATAGTGTTAAAAACAATTTAAAAAAAAAACTATTTAAAAACATGTTCGGATTTTGGTGATGGTTATTCATGGCTTTTTTTATTACCCGTTTATTAAGTTGATCACTGTAATAATCACTGTTTTCGAATAAAAAATTAAGCTCTATAGGGGTCATAGAAATAATTTTTGAAGGTTTTTGCAAATAGTGTAATGCTTCAGCCTTATCTAAATTCACGATTGGCTAGATATTTTAAACGAAATGGGTACACGTACCAATTACGTTTAAAGTATTTAGTCAAAATACTTTAAACGTAATTGGTACAATTTATTAATCCTTTATGAATAAAGTATTAATAAATTGTTCAATTTATTAATCCTTTATTCATATCTGGTAATTATTAATTACTTACATCTTGGATAATCTTGAGGTCAAAATTACTCAATTTTCAAGACCTATATAACTATAATTATCTAAATTCTTTATTATATAATTATACATAATTTTTAACTAATTTTACCTTAAAAATCTAAAAATGACTTACATAAGTAAACTTTGTATATACAGTTTAGTTATGTAAGTAATTTTAAGTTTGCCGTTCAAAACTTGATTGTATTTTATATTAATAGTTATGCGTTTAAATGAGTTATAAAAACTAGCTAAAAATAAATTAAATGTTTAAATGCGTGTATTGCTTATATACTGCTTATATATTGCTTATATACTGGTCTGACTGGTTTGATTTTTTTAATAATTGATTTCGTAAATTGTATAAAAAACGTGAAAATTAAGAAAAATTGCGTTTTTTTGCATTTTTTCAAAGTCGATTAAGCTTGCCATTTTTTATTTTGGAGAGCTGAAATTTTTCATGAGCTCATATTTTACCCTGTTGAACTTACTCCCGGATTACTAAAGTTGAATTTCCAAAAAAGTATGCAAATCACTCCACCCTAGGGTGGAGTGATTTGCATATATGCTATAGCATATACTTTAAAATTACGAATACTTGAAACCTGCTTCAGGGTTTTGTAATGACATCGTAAATTGGGAAGTTATTTTTTAACAATGAAAAAGAAGAAAACCTGAAGAGAAAAAAAAAAAAAATTAAATAATGTTTTTACGGCGAACTTTACAGCGAAGAAAGTACGAAAAAAAAAAAATTGTTTAAATTAATAATTATTTAAATTATTTTTGTACATTGTTTATGTTGTGTATTTTTGGGAACAGTTTGAATTGTCCTGTATTTTTTTTAGCATATTTATTCTAATATGTACTTTTGTGCGCTGTTTGCATCGTTTGTTGCGTTATTTGTTTTCAGACATTCTTTGTATTCTTATTTAACTTTGTGTATTGTGTTCATCAGGCATTGTTGTGTCTTGCTCATATTGTCATATTTTTTTGAAAAATGTTTGTATTACCCTGCATTTTTTTTTTGTTTTACTTTTTAGTTTGTCTAATGTTGATGGGAAATTGGGTTTTATATATTTCTAAAACTGTATATCTATATGTGTATGTAAGTATATGTACTTCTGTATGTATATGTATACATGTATATGTGTACCTATATCTATATATTTGTATCAGGAGCCGATCCAGGATTAATTTTGACTGTAGCAAAAAGTTATTCTACTTCCTGCTGTGGCTTTAAGTGATACCTATGATCCCCGACACTTTTCTCCTCTTTGTCCGCATGGGATTCAAAATACTAAAAAAAATACCCTTTTTTTGTTGTTGTGTAAAATCGCTATTCCTTCAATAAAAACACAGAAAAAGAGCTTTGCAAAGTGCAAAATCAATTTTTTTCAAATAATAAGCTCAGAAAAACAATACTGAATGAATTTTAATTTTGTAGTAAAAAATTTTTAACTGAAAATTCAAAAAATCTCCGTAAGCTATATATTTTGGTATATATTATAAGTTTTCGTAGGGAGAGAGGGGAGGGTGCTTAGAAACCCCTTACGCTCCCTTAGAGACGGCCCTAGAATCACCACTAACTCACCAATGGATTGGTGTTAAATCAGCGGTGATTATGGCTATTATAAACTCGTGACAAGTTGCGGTTCCATCACAAGTAATAAAAAGTTGACAAATACACCGTTGGATAAGTACTCAATTAAAGTTACTTATCCGACGGTTACTTTAAAAAAATTACAAGTTATTTGTTTACATAAAACATTCAATATTTTCAAACACCGAACTTCAATTTAGGTAAAGTATATTTTGTAAATTAACAAATATATTATTAAATTAATAGATATAATGTTAGACTAATAAATATAATATTAAATTAGATAAATTAAGTTTGATAGATAGATTCTATAACTTGTAAATGTACTAGCAAAAAAAAAAAAAAAAATTTTTTTACAATAAACACGACAAATCAGCATACAAACTTGTTCGGTAGTCTCCAGTGTGCCAATGAAACTTATTGATTTCCCGTTTGTTAACTAAAATGTTTCCAAAATGATATAAGTTACTAATAACAATTCATTTTTCTAAAGGACGCTTAAATTTCCTCCTTAATCTGTTTAAAAAACTTCAAACGACAAAAATACAGTAATAAACTAGTTACTGTAATAAAGAAAAGATATTCATATTTGTTAATTTAATGAAAATAGTTCATTTAAATCATTGACAATGCGTTTTATAATAGATATCTTTTTTTTATCTTTTTCATTCTCATCTTGCGCTGCTGAGATGCCGCTCCACATGTTACTATATAGTTCTTTTTTTTCATACCATGGTAACCATTTAGGTTTTTCCTTGTCTCTTTCTTTAGGCGTTTCTTTTTTTGCATTGTTAACATTTCGCCAAGGAAATCCACTTAGAAAAGAGATTTCATTTAACTCTTTTTTGTCATCCTCTTTTTCTTCTTCCCAATTGTTACGGTGAAGAAGAATGCCGTTGCTTTTAGGTGGTGGAGGCATATCGTTTTTAAATTTTTCTTTAAATTCTTTTAAAAAATAACCGAGTTTGTTGGTCTCTGTTTTTTCTATATTTTTTAGCTGTTGATTATTTTTAAGGTCATGAGAGGCAGAGGTTTCTAGAAGAGATATAAGTTTTCTAAGAATTAGTTGATCACTAGTGCTTTCACTCGTAAATAGTTTGGATGAAAGATGTTTTTCTTGAAATGGTTCGTTTTTTGTGTACATTTTTTGTGCTGTAGAAATTGCTTTGTCAGCTTTTTGACCATAAATAGTCATTTTATTTGCATCACCTACTCTGTAAATATTATCAGCGAGTTCCTCCAGCATATCTGTCACTATGATAAAAATTATAAATTGCGTATTTATAAATAAAAAATATTATATCTAAAAAGACCTTAACCAGAGAGAAACAAAACTTTAAAAAAATCAAACTTTTAAATTTATATTTTAAAGTTTTTTAAAGAAATTAAAAAAAAAAACGTATATGTTATAAAATTTATATTTAAAAGTTTTTGAAACAAAATTAAAACTTAAAAATTACATTGACAATAATAAAAAAAATCTATGAACACATTTTTATTAATCAAGTGAGTTTCTTATTCAGCGTCACTTATCTAAAAACTTGTATTTTGAGCATCCTTCTTGAGTAAGTCCGTAAAAAACGAATCTTATGCAACATGAGTTACATTAAAAACAAAGCCTGAAAAACAGAGCTGAAGCTCTGGTTTCGTGCTAGCGGATCCACACCCCAAATGGGGAAAGGGACGGGGGAAGAAGCCTAGCAAATTTTGGGGAACTTTCGCAAGTTTAAGAAGCTTTTTTAGTTAGCAATATCTAGCGGAAATTTTTTTTATAGTTTTCGGGCCCTATTGATAGGTTTATGGGGTTACCCCTAACCCATTAGCTACGGCACAGCTAAGGGCCAGTATAAAAGGGTGTTCATAGATGGACACTATACCCTCGACTTCCTTATATCATACATCCTTTTTATGTTGGTAAACAGGATCTTTAGTCAGAAAAATAACTTTTCTATTTTTTAGCTAGAGAATTATGGACAATTATGTTGATCCAGTGTCATTTGGTTAATGATAAAATTATTACTGACGGAACTAAAAACATCTGGTAAATTTACATTGGTCCAATTTATGTATATATATACAGGCTTGGACGGGAATGGCGTGCGATCACGCGCTTTGTTTGACCACGGGAACAATAATTTTTTTTGACGGTTGCTTTGACAAATAAAACGCTTCAGAAATGCGTCGAAATAAACTAGTAAAATTTACGAAATAACTTTTAATCGTTAAAATTACTTCAAAAGATTGCTTAAAATAAACAAATTATTATTACGAAAACGTACACGAAACTTTTATTTAAGTTTGTTTTCTAACGCTTAAAAGTATTTTTTTATGTTTTTATTTTAAATCTTTCAAACGAATATTTTGTTTTTCAAAGATTATTTTTTGAGCGAATTTTTATTACGAAAGGAATGAATAAGCTCGAAACTTGGCAGACTTGTAGACGGAGCACCCCCCTAAGTTTAAAACACGTTTTATCGAAAATGATATTTTACTGACCTAATAAAATTAATCAATTAAATTAATTTAAGTGTAGTTACATCAATTGATCATAAATAATGAATAGAATTAAGTGTAAATGCTTTGACTAACCATTAGAGATTGACACAAAGAAATATATATTCATTAATTGACCGTAAGAATGGGACAGTTTAGGTCACGATTATTAGTATTTCATAAGGGTGCGTCGTTTACAAGTCCGCCCGAAACTTTATGAATGACAATCTTTAAGATCTTCGTTCAAAACGTTTTGAGATTATTCATTCACAAAGATCATCTTTGAAGGCATTTAAACAAAGTGAAAATTACTTCTAAGGATTACTTTCATTTCGTTTATATCAAAGAATATCTAAGTTTTTTTGTATTACTATATTTATAAGCATGTTTTTTTTTTAATGTAAACGTTAGAATATACCTTTCCATGTTTTTATTTTAAATCTTTTAAACGAATATTTTGTTTTTGATAAACGGTAGGAATTAATAAATTTTTTTAAAAACTTGACATGCGAAACGCTTTAAAATAAATCTACTAAGTGTTTGTAACGATTATTTTAATTAGCCACTTTTTATTAAAAATATTTAAAAATGTTATTTGTAACATTTTTTCCATCCACAAAGTCTACCGTCACGCTAAATTGAACTAATTCCTTGTCAAATAATTAGTTCTCCTTCGCGGAGATATTCATTAAACATAACCAGGTAAACATTAGACGTTACTCTTTAAAGTCTTTGCGCATGAGAACCAATGCTTTTACGTTAAAAGCATTTGCTCTCTTGCGCAAAGATTTTAAAGAGTAACGTCTAATGTTTAGGCCGTTATGTTTAATAAGAATCTCCGCGAGAGAGAACTAACAATTTGCATGATAAGTGCTTATGATAAACGTGTATGATAAATGTAAAGGTGAGTTTCCACTCATCCGTTTTTTTACGGGAACGGGATAGGAAAGAAAAAAATAATTACGCGAGCATGCGTAATAAAAGATTTTCTTTGTCCGAAAGAAAACTGCGCATGCTCACGTCATTATTTTTCTGTTTCCTTTCCCTTTCCCGTAGAAAAACGGATGAGTGGAAACTCACCTTAAAAGTTAAAAAGTATTTTTATTTGTCTTGCGATGTTTATGAAGTTTGAAACTTTATTAAAAAACTTAAAAATTTTAGTGTGAAGCACTTATAAATAAAGTGACGAATTAATTGTTAAACAAAATTTAAATTAAGAAAAATGTTATTAAATAAATATTATTCCGATACATAACAAAATTTATCGGAGTCAAAAAATGCAACTAAGAAGAAATATAAATTTATAATATAAGACTTATTGATCAATAAACCAACGGACTTGATTAAAAAAATATATATCAAGGTATAACAGCCGAATTCTGACGCTTTTAGATCGTTTATTCAGCGGTCTAGCTACGACTGAACTCTTGCTGGAAAAATGTATTACCGCTCAGCCTGACAACAACAAAAGACCTAAACGTTGTAGCAATGAAGCGATTCAATAGTTTAACTTGTTTGCAAAAAATAAAGTAACAAAAGATAAAGTAACAAAAGACAAAAGACAAAGTCATTTATTTCTAGCGTTAACTAACGTAACTTAAAATAATAGTCGCTTTGAGTTTGTACTTTTACAGTTTTAGTTTTCTTTTCTCTTCTTTTGTTGGAAATGTGTAAAAAAAAAAAAAAAAAAAATACATATTTTTTAAATTGTTCTCTATAATTTAATTTAGTTTGGTTTTTTTAACGCATTTCCCATAGGCCGAAAAAACGTATTTATTAGTCAAAACATCAAAGCAACCGTGGTTTTATTGTCAAAACATTGTTATTATGTGCGTGGTCAAACACAGCGTCCGATCGCACGCCATTCC